CCCTCCCATACCCTCCCCCTCTCGCGCTTCGCGCTAACATTCTGCCTACATACCATATTCAACCCAGCTACGCCCCTGCCTGTTGCTAGTATATAACCTGTTGGAAAGTTAGTCCACGTCTTGTTTTATCTAGTCGATCAGTATTGGTTGATATTAGGATTAATTAAGTGTTCCCGCGCTTAACAGAATTCGACATTTTTATTTCGAAAGTCTGATGTACAATTTCGGGCTGATGTTAATTCCGTTTGTTAAAAGAAACCAACTACATCTAGCTGACAATAAGTATCAAATGGTTAGAACTTAATCTTCGGAATCTCGTTGGTTCACGACAGGCACCTGGTTGAACAAGTCTTATGTTCATAGGGACCTGATAATTTGTTACAATTATTATTTGGCCCAAAACTATAGTGTTCAGCGTAATTTTTCACGTCAAATAGGAATTTAGATCAAACATCCAAGTGTATTAGAAGATTCTATACAATGTAGCTGTAACCACGGAATTGTTTAAGTCCGTGCTGTAACAAATTAGCATGGCCCTGTGGTGTGGTTCAGTCACATTTAGCATTTAACATTTCCACAAGCATCATCGACATAACTGCCACATAACAATTTAGTTTTGGTTTGGGCATAATTAGCCATTTACATTGATTGATATAAAAAAAATATCCAGAAATGCAAACGAATTAAAACATAGTCTTAGATGACTAAGTTATATATAGGAGATGCGTACACATTTTGATCAGCAACACGTTTAGTGATGTGTCTTAATTAAACATTAAACCGAGCAGACGATAGATTATAGGCCTATCAAGAGTAAGTACGCGTACGTTGATTGGCCAAACAATTGTTGAATTCATGACTTTCATTGGTTAACGACCTCGTCATAGGAGTCGGGGTTTTCCGTCAGGTGGTTTTCCGATACCTGGCGAGGCGGACTGACTTGGAAAGCCAGATGAGCTAGGCGAGACAACAACAAAATTCGTCCAGAATAAAGCGAACATGTTTACAAGACCACTGTATATGGATCAAACATAATCTATTGTAAGTACCAGATCACTTTACCTACCGAAAAAGGCATTAAATCAACTTAAATTAACTAAAGAAATTTAAAATGGTCATATGTACTTTCGGTTTCGTTTTTGGTAAGGCTATCATTTTCTTCTTGTCCAAGAATTACTGAAAAAAATTACCCTTAGATGTTTTCTGAAAAGGAACTGGCAAGAAATGATATCTGACAGTATGCTGGGATAAATCTGTTATCGTTTATAAGAGACTGAATGGTTGAATTATTAACAAAATGAAAACAAATTAACTAAAATTGTTGTTTCAACATAACTTCTTTATTATATTTTTTTGGACCTTTTTTTGTTCGCTAAAAAGGTTTATTTACCCACACAAATATCCTGTAATAATTCTATAAGTTTGGCACACACTGATATTTTAATCACCATTCAAAGGAATGAATGATGTTTTAATGCAGTTAAGAAACTGAGAAATGCACATTAATAAAGAAAAAATGAAATTTCAAGTCATGTAGTGTTATATTTTATTTCTTCCTTGTTTTAAAAGGAAAAAACCCCGATTAGGATCGGAAAAACGGTTACGAAGGTTATCTATTCTAATTCCAATCGATGATCGATTGGCATTTTTAACCGATTACCTGGTCCAGTTCTGCTACAATGAATCTTACAAAACACCAAAAAAAATAGAAATCGGTGAAAATATTATTTGAAATTAGACCCTAGAATGTTATATGTTTTAAGAGACAGAAGACAAGTGTACAGTCTACTGAATCACAGCATCAATTCACCGGACAACTCCATGGGTGTCAACCTCTGAAACCTCCAAAGAGGGAGACCTCCCTCGTTCCACATTTCGAATGAGGGTGAACATGTGTGAAATGCCACTGAAACTGCTTTACCTACAACTTATCTTTCCCTTTTAATTGATGTATCGAAATAACTCCAACAAACATTCATTTCACTTAGATTCAGACACAGCTGTTATGGTCACTACTCACACCCTGCAGTAACTAGAAGATCATTTGACCACAGGAGGGAGAATTTGAGTTTGTTTGAGTTTGGACATGAATAACAGAGTTTCGAGTGAGATTGGTTAAATTTTAGTCAAAATGAGGGAGTCTCCCTCCAAATGAGGGAGGTTTGGCAGCTATATGCAACTCGAGTAAATAACAGGATATCTGATACTTTCATTAAGTGAAAGTTCCCAATTTTCCGGGAAATGTATAATTTATAATGTTTTTCACACAGATACTAAGATGCTTAGTACCAGCATCAGTAGACGTATATCTCTTATCAACTCCAGTGCATATTTGCAAGGTAAACGTTTAGGTTTACATTCTGTATGTCCATTAATTGATGATGTGCAACTTTAATTTAGATTTAAGGGACATGATATTTAGTTTATTGAGAAATTGGTGTATTAATTAAGCTGTAAGATGTTGGTATTAAAATCAGGCTTTTAGACCTTGATAATTTCCATTTCTGCAGCCTCTTTTTTACATGATGGTTTTCTGTGGTAAAGAACACAAAGGGGTAAAACATTTAACACTACACTGTAGCAGTCATTGTATTCTGCAATATAGCATCTTATTTGTGTCTATCTATTACTGATGTGAGATTTATCACATACTGTACTGTGTTAACCAGTGAATATACCCATGTCATATTTTTTTGCGTATTAACCCATGTAATATGACCTTTGATGGGTTGTAAGTTTCAATTGTTTCAATTGTGACGTCACGCCTAGGACAAGTACATGACGTCACATACTTGTGCAATGGAGTCAAAATGGCGGCTTTCTACATGGTTACATGAAAATTGTTGTTTTACACAAATAAATGCCACAAATCTTGATTATGTGATAATTAGATGATATTTAATGGTGTCGTCAGTAATAACAAATATATTTCACGAGTGTGACTAATATATTGATATTTTGCGCACTCGTGAAAAATATCAAAACATTAGCCACACGAATGAAATATATTTGTTATTACTGAAGACAGCATTACATTATCTATTTATTACATTTTTAAAGCAAAAACATGAAAAAATGTAATGTATTAAAAAAGGGCGAGAATCAGGGGCGTAATATTTAGTGCCATATCCTAATGACATCACACTTGACAACAAGGCTACCCGCCATTTTGAATGGGATACTCAACGCAATTCCAACGTTTTCTGCTATTTTCTGGTATTATTGCTTATAAAATGTTATTAATTGTATATTTATGTAAATACTTAAGTGTGTGTACCAAACATTTACCATAACAACTACGGTACTTATTTTACTGCACTTCATTTTAATCTTAACAAAAAATTGTTGCCTTTGAATGCAGCGAATAGAAGATACTGTTATGATTGGTCAATATCAAAAAGTGATATATTCACGCTGTGAAAATCTCATTTTCGATATTTGTCACAGTTATGAAAGATATCAGTTTTATCAAGTTGATAGAATCCGATATTTCACTGGTAAAAATGTAATAAAAAATGATCTTATACTTGTTTCATTTAATATGAAATTTATGAAACTCGTAACAATTTTTTAATTTAAGCTTGCAAGATGCTCGCTAAATTGAAAAATTCTTAGACTCGTTTCATAAATCTCATGAAATGGAAACACATGTAAGATCCTATATATCTGTTCTTTATGCAACATAACAAGTTACCATTCTGCGATGTATAAATTCTCATTCTTGGGCCAAAGTCATAAGTAAATTAAATTTTTTGATTTCTTGTTCCTACTTTATTTGACTTGCAACAATTTTCTAGTTTTCAAATCAAGTGAAAGACTGCCCTGTTATGATGTTTTTGCATGTTGGTCATTGTTGTTCCTAGATAATGCACCTATTATCAGAGTATCTGTTATTGACGAAAATGCTGCATACATAATTACATGAAATGTTAATATTCTTCAGATGTTTTGGCTAAAGTTGGTGTGTCACCATGAACTTTTCATAAATTTATATTCATCTTTTTGGACTCATCCATGCTGTCTTTTACCTTATCTTAATCCTTTGGTTTGGTGGTTGTTCAGATTATCAGTTATCTCTATTAAGGAAGGATATTACTGCCTCCTTTCCTCTTCATTATGTCGGTTGGAGCTCTGTCAACAAGATTGCAATTACCTTTTTAATGAGCACTGTATTTAATACAAACCCACGCCATCAGAAGCCTTTTCAGTTCTGATGGTCTTTTTTAAGGGAGACACTTTTTGCAATGATTGTGCAGATCTGACATGCCAAACAAAAAATCACATTTTTCTTGATATGTTTCGGTTACATGTATATACATACAAAATTCAGCTGCAAAATATTTTATTGATGATGAAATTTTTGCTTGTAGCTTAGAGGGATGAAGTGCTATCAAATGAGTTCAAGTGAATTCCCTTGAGTCATACTCCTACCTTTGCATCATTGCATGAACATCTGTTTGAGTTTCCATGTGAGAGATACAGTCTTATGGGCCTTTTCTTTATACATGTTAGACTAGTGATTCTAAAGAAATAAGGCAATGATTTTTTGCATACTGTGTGTATTCTAAAACATATTTCTTTTAATTCAGATCAAAACCAAGATGTCTTCAGGTTCAGGTGCACCTCGTGGTCCTGTTCCTGCTGATAGAGATCCTAACCAGGCTGATGGTGACAGACATGCTGAGAAGGGAGATAACCAAGGGGAGGGTCAGCCAGAGTTACAAAGATCTGGCAGTTCCAGTGGTAACCCAACAACAGCAAACCAACAAAAGTCTTCAAGACATGAGGGAGAACAGTCACCTCAGGATCATTTTTCGTTTGGAAAATCGGACCAGATAGCTAATATATCTGATCCCGTGTCTGGTGCCTCATACAAGAATGAAGAAGACAAGGGACAGGCAACTAGCCGAGGTGTGGACTCCTATGACAGAGGAGGTGGAGCTCAGGGCGGTGATGTTGCTGCAGCCATGGCATCTCCAGAGGATACACCAAATCCTCCATCAAGGACACAGGGTAAGTTTAAGTGAATATATACAATTATAGTTCAGTATGGTATCTATAAAAGCAATATATTTTGTTGACATTGGCACACCAACTTGTAGAAATAAAAACAAATTCTATAGCCTGTGATATGGTATACTAATTTGGGTACTAATTACGGCCGAAAATGGACGAAATCTCACTGCGAGTTTAGCGTTTTATTTTCAAAAACAAATTACTTAGATATAGAGCTTTTCCTGAAAATGAACCACCATAGGTAGTCTTTGTCAAGAATCAAGTAACATTCCAGATACAAGATCAGAATTTTTAAAGATCACTAAAAAACTGTCAAAATTGTACCAATTGTGGTAGCGTGACGTTATGTACCATAGTTGATGGATTCCTAAATGACACTCTTTAGTCCAGCCATAAGTACAATGTAACTTTTAAGTCACATTTAAGAAGAGATGACCAGACATCAAATTTGCAAATTTAATCCAGTTTACATCAGAAGAACAACGTTCAATTTTCAAAAGATACCTAAAGTACATAAAGCTGTGCCCTGTCTAATGACTAATAACAACAATCTGTGTATAGTGACGTCTACAATAGAAATGAAATATTTACATCATAGTATATATAGTTGTCATCCTAGTATATATAGTTGACATCCTAGTATATATAGTTGACATCCTAGTATATATAGTTGACATCATAGTATATATAGTTGTCATCATAGTATATATAGTTGACATCCTAGTATATATAGAGTTGACATCATAGTATATATAGTTGACATCATAGTATATATAGTTGACATCATTAGTATATGTAGTTGACATCCTAGTATATATATATAGTTGACATCATAGGATATATAGTTGACATCCTAGTTTATATAGTTGACATACTAGTATATATAGTTGTCATCATAGTATATATAGTTGACATGCTAGTATATATATAGTTGACATCATAGTATTTATATAGTTGACATCATAGTATATATACTTGACATCAATAGTATATATAGTTGACATCCTGGTATATATAGTTGTCTTCATAGTGTATATAGTTGACATCCTAGTATATGTATAGTTGACATCATAGTATATAGATAGTTGACATCATAGTATATATACTTGACATCAATAGTATATATAGTTGACATCCTAGTGTATATATAGTTGACATCATAGTATTTATATAGTTGACATCATAGTATATAGATAGTTGACATCATAGTATATATAGTTGGGATCATAGTATATATAGTTGACATGCTAGTATATATATAGTTGACATCATAGGATATATAGTTGACATCCTAGTTTATATAGTTGACATACTAGTATATATAGTTGTCATCATAGTGTATATAGTTGACATCCTAGTATATATATAGTTGACATCCTAGTATATATATAGTTGACATCCTAGTTTATATAGTTGACATCCTAGTATATATATAGTTGACATCATAGTATATATATAGTTGACATCATAGTATATATAGTTGACATCAATAGTATATATAGTTGACATCCTAGTATATATATAGTTGACATCATAGTATATATAGTTGACATCCTAGTTTATATAGTTGACATCCTATTATACATATAGTTGACATCATAGTATATATAGTTGTCATCATAGTATATATATATGACATTCTAGTATATATATAGTTGACATCATAGTATATATAGTTGACATCATTAGTAAATATAGTTGACATCCTAGTATATATATAGGTGACATCATAGTATATATAGTTGACATCCTGGTATATATAGTTGACATCATTAGTAAATATAGTTGACATCCTAGTATATATAGCTGACATCATTAGTATATATAGTTGAAATCATAGTATATATAGTTGACATCATTAGTATATGTAGTTGTCTTCATAGCATATATAGTTGACATCCTAGTATATATAGGTGACATCATTAGTATATATAGTTGAGATCCTAGTATATATAGTTGTCTTCATACTACATATAGTTGACATCCTAGGATATATAGTTGACATCATAGTATATAGTTGACATCATAGTATATAAATAGTTGACATCATAGTATATATAGGTGACATCATAGTATATATAGTTGACATCCTAGTTTATATAGTTGACATCATATTATACATATAGTTGACATCATAGTATATATATAGTTGACATCATAGTATATATATTTGTCATCATAGTATATATAGTTGACATCCTAGGATATATAGTTGACATCATTAGTATATATGGTTGACATCCTAGTATATATAGTTGTCCTCATAGTATATATAGTTGACATCCTGGTATATATAGTTGACATCATTAGTAAATATAGTTGACATCCTAGTATATATTGTTGACATCATTAGTATATATAGTTTACATCATTAGTATATATAGTTGTCATCATAGTATCTATAGTTGACATCATTAGTATATAAGTTGACATCATCAGTATATATAGTTGACATCATAGTATATAAATAGTTGACATCATAGTATATATAGGTGACATCATAGTATATATAGTTGACATCATAGTATATATAGGTGACATCATAGTATATATAGTTGACATCAATAGTATATATAGTTGACATCCTAGTTTATATAGTTGACATCCTAATATACATATAGTTGACATCATAGTATATATAGTTGACATCCTAGTATGTATAGTTGTCATCATAGTATCTATAGTTGACATCATTAGTATATAAGTTGACATCATTAGTATATATAGTCGTCTTCATAGTATATATAGTTGACATCCTAGGATATATAGTTGACATCATTAGTATATGTAGTTGTCTTCATAGCATATATAGTTGACATCCTAGTATATATATAGTTGACATCCTAGTATATATATATAGTTGACATCATAGTATATAAATAGTTGACATCATAGTATATATAGGTGACATCATAGTATATATAGTTGTCATACATCCTAGTATATATATAGTTGACATCATAGTATATATAGGTGACATCATAGTATATATAGTTGTCATACATCCTAGTATATATATAGTTGACATCATAGTATATAAATAGTTGACATCATAGTATATATAGTTGACATCCTAGTATATATAGTTGTCATCATAGTATCTATAGTTGACATCATTAGTATATAAGTTGACATCATTAGTATATATAGTTGACATCATTAGTATATATAGTTGACATCATAGTATATATAGTTGACATCATAGTATATAGTTGACATCATAGTATATATAGTTGACATCATTAGTATATATAGTTGACATCCTAGGATATATAGTTGACATCATAGTATATATAGTTGACATCATAGTATAGTTGCAATGTCTGTGAAAAGATGGTATAAGATTTTGCAGTATTTTCATAATCAAGCCAAGAGTATAAAGGTCAACATAGAACGTGCCAGATGTGATATATCTAAAAAGGAAATAATGTTGGTTTCGATCTACACCATTTTGGATAATGAATCAATGTCAATACCTATTAAATATAAAACAGTTCCAGTGTTATCAGATAATATATCAGATAATATAATAAAGCTTCAGGTAAGTTAAATTCCCATTACATCGGTACATGTATCCCGCAAATGCTGTAGGTATATATAAGTCAATGTCTTCAACGTATATATCGTGAATACTTATATATCGTGAATACTTATATATCGTGAAAATGTATATATCGTGAATACTTATATATCGTGAATACGTATATATCGTGAATACTTATATATCATGAATACTTATATTCAATATGTATACAGATGCCTTATACCCTATGTTTCACATAACTGTAAATATTATACATTTTATCATATATTGTATCTTGACCATGTGTAAGATGAGCTTCATGCTCAATATGTTAATAAGAATAAATAAAGCCTTTATTATTATTATTATTATTATAATGTCGCAATGTATATACGCCACAATATTTTTGTGTATGTGAATTTTTGTTAGGTTTATCATACTTGTAATTAATAGGGTATATAAAAAATAGATGAAAGCTTAGCCTACATAATTATAAGATGCAATATATTTTAATAGTCTTGGATAATGTCATTATAAGATTCAGCTAACCAGCTAACCATTGTTTAATATTGATAGATTAATATTGTGATGGCTTATTTACTCACTAACAAATGTTGACCTACTGCTGTTGTTTTTGTATTGTTTGACGACCAATCAACAATTTAAGTCACTTATAGGGTAGCAGCAGGTACGTAGTATAGGTAGAAGACAAATATGGTGGGATTAATCAAGACCAGTGTATCAATCAGTTCCAGGCTTACAGACTAAACTCTGATATCAAAGTGTTATTATTTAATTGTCCATACAAAGGACATCATTGAAATTTAAGTTGATGTAAGTGTTGTATTGTTATTTATCCTTGATTCTTTTATCTGTTTCTTTTTCACACATTTTAGGCAAAAATACTGATTCCTGTCCAGACTTCCAGAACATTGATTATTCGGGTCATTTCAAAGTCAACCTTGTCTCCAGAGGCACAAAGAGTACAGTGTTAAAGATGAAAACGGAGGAAGAACGATTTGTCAAGTTCTGCCATCTCTTCTATTGTGATTTACAGCTGTGTGCAGTAGAGGAGGCTTTACAGTCTGATCTGAAACTTGATGTAACCAAAGTGGGATATCCTCCTTCTGTCTGTACCCAGCCAGGGGCCTCAGATCCTGTAGCTGTAACTGTAAAGAGTTTCCTTAATAGTCTGTGCTATCAACTTAGTGCTGTAAACATTTCCTCCACCCCCTGGAATATAGACCAAGTCAGGACAATTCTGTCTTCCTTGGACAGCTATCGGAAGGGCATTGTGATTGGCTATGAGGTGTCAGGTGATGAAGCTATCAACTACTGGCTAGCTGGTGAAGGTGGTTCCATGAAGTCTGCCATTGAGGTTTTAGATCAGAGGCTAGGCCCTGGAAGTAACTCAGTCCAACAGTCATCACAACATCAAGATATGGTACCAAAAAAACCTGATAGAGATACAACTGACACAGGTAATGGGAGTTCTTTTGTTGGTCAGCAGGAAAGGCTTAGTCAAACTGACAGTCGTCTTCAACAGACTGGTCTAGCTGTTAGTGGACAGAAACAGCAACAAGGACCTGAACAAATGACTGAAAGGACACATTTACATCCTCAACATGAAAGACTGAGAACTACAAACCAACAATATCAATCTGAGGAAGAACAGGCATCTGCTGATTCTTTGAGAGGTAAACCTGGAGGTAGTGGATCAGATACTAGACCAGGAGGTAGTGGATCAGATAATAGACCAGGAGGTAGTAGATCAGATAATAGACAAGGAGGTAGTGGATCAGATAATAGACCAGGAGGTAGTGGATCAGATAATAGACCACCAGGCTTTAGTGGCCCAGGTGACGGTCATAGTGATCCTACTCAACCCCCAATCGAAAGACAACAGGAAAGAAATGGTGATCCCACTAGACCCTCAATGAGAGGCAGACAGGAAGAATTTGGTGAACACAATCAACCCTCTATGGGCAGAAAACAGGAGGGAGATGGTGATCCCACTGGACCCTCTATAGGCAGACAACAGAAAGGGATTGTTGACCACACTCAACCCTCAATGGGCAGACAACAGGGAGGAGATGGTGATCCACATGGTACAGGCATTACTAGAGATGACAAGAGGACAGATGTTCAAAAGGAGGCTGAGAACATAGAGTCTGTCAGATCTTGGAAGGAAGAACATGGGGACATTCCTTTTGCTGATGGAGATTCAGAACATAATTCATCACTAACTGAAAACCAGAAAGGTAATATACCAGTACCACATGTTTACAGCTTTTTTAGATATATTGATTAAAATCTAGATTAATAGAATTTTAAGATCAATGTATCACCACAGTAACCTGGTCAGAGAGATGAAATGGGCAGTATAAATAATTTGGTTGCACCTTTTACTGGATATAAGACACTAATTTATTGTCTTTAAGGAAAGCTAAATATAACGATCCCAGTCCACAGGGACATACCACATGTTATCTTACAGAAGATATATAAGTGGGCATTATGGTATAATTACATACATTCCTGTATATGAAGTAATAAGGGGAACTAACAGATCGCTAAACATACCCCACCATCAGTAAAATTGATATTGACTTGGCCAAATACTGCGTGATATTACAATGCTTGGTACCAAATTCATTGTGAATAAATTGCTTTCAGATCTCACTTAAATGTACATATACGTACCTTGAACTACATTTTCAAACTGTTTACTCACTATGAATACTAAGATACCCAGGGAATTGCACCAATGTAGCCATGTCTAGACCAGTAGGAATTAGGTCACAGAAATTGTTTCTTCTGTAAAATGCATTTTCACTTATTTCATCCATTTTGTATTGAAACATTTTGGCAGCAGTTGTCTTCAAAAGAAAACCAGGTGCCTTTCTTCAAAAAGGTTCAGCAGTAATTCAGACATTTGTAGGGATTTATTTGATTGGTCAATATTAAAGTCAACCCAATATTGAATAATAAAACAAATCCCTTGAATCGTTTGATTGCTACTGATTTGTGAAATTGTTTTGAAGAAGTTACCATCAATGTTTCATGTGGTTGTATTGTGTAAATCGTATGTAAAACAATACATTTACTGTACGCCGCAGTCATTTTATGGGTTCACCAATAGTGTTATACCATGTCCCATATATGTCACACCACTGTGTCCCGTAGCATACCTCACCCATCTGGTCACGTTCCACTGAACTTTAATTGCTCTAGAGACTTCATCTCTGAACAATTTTTTCTTAAACTTTACAATAAAAAGGGTCAAGCTAAAGAATACCACAGATCAATTTCTGTTTCAGGGCTCTATGGTTAAAGTCAAAGTTGTCATTACTATTTTAAAAATTTGTCAACCAATTGAAGGACACGCTATTTGTAGGAAACAAGATACACAGTCAATTCAGTGATATCATAGAATCCAGCAACTCCAACAGATTTTGGTCAAACTTTGTACAAAGGTCAAGTTTTAGAATACTTTAACTGAGTACATACTTCAGGAACTACAAGGTCAAGGAACAATACTTTATACAAAAAATCGTGAAAAAAGGACACAAAATTGCATGGAATAAGGGACATTCATGTTTTACAGAGATATGTTTGGATTTTTGAAAATTGGTTTTGTTTTTATATATGCTGTGACTTATTACTCTGGCAAATATCTATTTTGGAGGCAAAAATCTATCTCCAGTTATATTTCCTGAGTAGGTGGCTTATGATCCTGAACAATTGGCTATTTAGAAATTTTGGGGAGAACGTACACTGACAAAAACAATTAAGTTATGTTTTGTACGCAAACCAAATCTGATCTTGATAAAGATTTTACTTTTGAAAGATTTAGTACACAAATAGTTTGTATGTATTACAGAATGGTCTGGTCAGAATGCTAACAATCCACAACAGGAGTCAACAAGTGCACCAGTGGATCAAAATATTGACAGATACCAAGGTCAAGGTCAATTTGGTGTACATGGAGATCCTGTTGGAGCCCCAACTGGAGGACAAAATGCTGGGGTGCAGAATATGACAGAGCCATCCCCAGGTAGTGATGACCAATATAAACTACCTCAGGGACAACCTCCTTCTACCAAACATGATGTACATCACGAAACTGCATCATCAATCATTACTATGAAAAAAATTCTTGGTAGACTTGATGAGAACATTTTATCTTCCTTACCATTAATCCTCAAGGATCTAAGGTACAAATTCAAAAATGTGAAAATAGAATGGAAGAAAGGTCAACATACTGTTAATATAACTGGGGCTGAGGTAGATGTCAGAAGAGTGACTACAGAGATAGTTAATCAACTGAAGGCAGTAAAGGACAACAAGGTTGAAATAAACAACAAACACATCAAACAGGAGGCACTAAACATGTTTAGAGAGAAGAGTGTATTTGACTATTTGAGAGAAAACATAAGAAGTCAGGAGGTTGCCTGTCACCTGACAAAGAATGAGGACCCTGCTGACGTGTACCTGTGGATATATACAGCTGACACTGACAGAGAAAGAGCTGTCAGACTTGTCACTTCCTCTGTTGTCTGCAGAGAGATTGAGCTGGATTCTTATTGGAAATTATTCCTAGAGTCACAGTATGTACAGCAGGAGTTGTCTGACCTTCAGAAAGAGTACAGTGGTAGGGTTGCCATAAAAACACAGCAGAGACTAGTGACACTGTCCTGTACAGCTGACATTGAACATAAAGTATTGGAAATTGTAAACAGAATGAAGAAAGATTTCTTCACAGAGGGAAATAAAACAGTTGAGTACACATCAGGTGGAGACCTAACAGTAGAACTCTGTACTAAAGTACAACAGCATGATATTCAGATGATGGAAAAGAAATACGGTGTTAAATGCCATCCAGTTAAAAAAAATAGAAAGCAGGGATGGGAAGTTACAGGGCCACGTGGAACATTGGAGAAAGCTTGTAACACTCTGAAAGAACTTTCTGCGACCGTGACATCGAGACACCTGCCTCTCGTGGACAAGATCACCGAGGATTTCTTCAAAACACAGCCAGGACAGGATGACATGGCTGGAGTTGGTGAGAATACAGGATGTCTGGTGACTTTGTTGGAACAGGAAGTAGCTGATTCTACAGGTACCTTGGGAGAAGTGAGGTCTGACATACAAGGTCTAGTGTCGGCTACAGAGCGGTCTGACAGGTCAAATCTGGCCGGACGTCAGTGGAGGTCAGAAGATGGCAGGGTCGTGGCTCTGTACTGTGGGGATGGCAGGAACTCTACATCTGATGTCTTGGTAGAACTCACTCAGAATAAAGGTATCACTTTATCATTAATTATACCAATTTATAGTAGAGGTATTATCGTTTTTTTCTTCAGATTTTGTTTTTTAAATTCAAGAAGTTTGTCAACTATGCATGTGTTTTGTAATTGTTACAAGGGCTGCTTCAATGAAAACATTGGAATTGTTTACATCTGACCATTTACATAATCAATACCCAAGTGTGCAACTTATCAAAACATAATTCGAAAGGATTAATTTAAAACCAGTCAAATGGTAAAAGGTGGAAAATCAAATATCTACTCAGGGATCGGGTTTTGGCCAAACACACATTTTATTAATTGCTAGACTATTCTATCGTTACAATGCGTTATGGAGACAGAGATAAACTTTACCCAACTTTAAGATTTTGAAGGAGATTTTGCTTCATAAAGATAAACTTTTACAGCAGTCAAACAGTTAATATTTATAGATAAAAAAAATACAGGAGAACATATCCCATACAGAAATATTGAGTGTCTGGCACATTATTGCTGTGATCCGATTTCATTTGCAAATTAGGTTTTTTGCAATATCGCCAGATGTTATCACAGCTTTGTGGTGAGTGTGACACTACATGCAATGCCCTCAAAGTCCTTCTAGGTGATATCGCCACAGCCTATAGGGTTCTGGTGATATTGTGGCACACCCACTCTGCGTATGTCTTTGCAAGCAAGATTGGGATTCCCACAACAAGAAATGTTCTAGCGTATAATAAATCACAATATTGCCGCAGGGTTGTGAAGTATTTATTGTTATTAGAAAAATAATTTACAAATTATATTGAAAAGAGATTGGTTATACAAAATTCAGTAAAAAGCTTTTTTCAGGGTCATGGTATCTTAAAATATTTAAACAACTACTTCTAAGTAACCTGAGAAGGCCCAGGATGTTGTTATTTGGCAAGTTGCATGCTGGGATGAATGACTATACACAATTCTTTCAAGATCGCAGAGGTCAATTATGTGAAAATCTTTAAATACACTTCTTCGCAATAGAAAGAAGGCCAACAGTGATGATGTATAGCCAGTAATATGTAGGGATGATGTCTACGAAATCTGTTCAAATGAATGACATGGTCCATATTTCTAGGTCACAGGGGTCAAATGTGTTTCAGCCAAGAGTCATATGTAAAGATATTTTGGCCTGTAGCTTAACTTTGTTCATTTTAATATATATTGTAACCTTTTCATGGTTACGGGTATGAGCTTGATACCATGTGAGTGGTAGAGGCCCATTGGGCCTCTTGTTGTTTAAATTGAAACTCTTTGCAAATCATTTTTGGGTATCCCCTTCACAAGTAACACCCTAGAAACTTGAAACAATGGAAGGTCACAGGCAACACTGTAATAGGAGAGGAAAAATGTACACCCAGACTGGATTCGAAGTCAAGACTTCCAAACTGTAGACAGACACTCCAACTAGTGAAGCTACCTGGTCACTGGTAATCCACCCATAGTCCATTTCTGCTACATACACACAACCCATGGACACAAAATGTAGAATATATACATACATGTATGAACTGATGCATTGGTCAACATACCTCCTACAATTGAGGTGTATTGGAATCTGGTTATCTCTTTATAAAACTTACTTTTATAAAGAGACACATTATTGTCACTTGAAATTTTCCATTGCTAAATATTCTTTTATTGAGGACTTTTCGGTGAAGGTGGGCATATAAACCATTATGTGGCTTACAGTTCTATTTCAATTAAACTTATTTCAATCAGTTGTGTTTCACAGATATATTTGGTACATCTGTAATGTCTAAACCTCTGTTCCCTGTTATGTCCACCTCTGTTCCCTGTTAAGTCTACCTCTGTTACCTGTAATGTCTATGTCTGTTCATGTCTACCACTGATCCCTGTAATGTCTACCTCTGTTCTCTGTAATGTCACCTCTGTTCCCTGTAATGTCTACCTCTGTTCTCTGTAATGTCACCTCTGTTCCCTGTTATGTCTACCTCTGTTCCATGTAATGTCTACCTCTGTTCCCTGTAATGTTTACCTCTGTTCCCTGTTATGTCTACCTCTGTTCACTGTTATGTCTACCTCTGTTCTCTGTCATGTCTACCTCTGTTCTCTGTAATGTCACCTCTGTTCCCTGTGATGTCTACCTCTGTTCCCTGTTATGTCTACCTCTGTTCCCTGTTATGTCTACCTCTGTTCCCTGTAATGTCTACCTCTGTTCCCTGTTATGTCTACCTCTGTTCTCTGTCATGTCTACCTCTGTTCTCTGTAATGTCACCTCTGTTCCCTGTAATGTCTACCTCTGTTCTCTGTAATGTCACCACTGTTCCCTGTAATGTCACCACTGTTCCCTGTAATGCCTACCTCTGTTCCCTGTAATGTCTACCTCTGATCCCTGTAATGCCTACCTGTGTTCCCTGTAATGTCAACCTCTGTTCCCTGTTAAGTCTACCACTGTTTCACCTGCTAATGAATGTCATATTTATATAATGTTCCCTGTATTGTCTACCTCTGTTCTCTGTAATGTCTACCTCTGTTCTCTGTAATGTCTACCACTGTTCCCTGTAATGTCACCACTGTTCCCTGTAATATCACCACTGTTCCCTGTAATGTCTACCTCTGTTCCCTGTTAAGTCTACCACTGTTCCACCTGCTAATGAATGTCATATTTATATAATGTTCCCTGTATTGTCTTCCTCTGTTCTCTGTAATGTCTACCACTGTTCCCTGTAATGTCTACCTCTGTTCCCTGTAATGTCTACCTCTGTTCTCTGTCATGTCTACCTCTGTTCCCTGTTATGTCTTCCTCTGTTCCCTGTTATGTGTACCTCTGTTCCCTGTAATGTCTACCTCTGTTCCCTGTAATGTCTACCTCTGTTCCCTGTAATGTCTCTCTCTGTTCCCTGTAATGTCTACCTCTGTTCCTTGTAATGTCTACCACTTTTCCTTGTAATGTCTACCTCTGTTCCATGTTTTGTCTACCTCTGTTCCCTGTAATGTCTACCGCTTTTCCCTGTTATATCTACCTCTGTTCCCTGTAATGTCTACCACTGTTCCCTGTAATATCTACCTCTGTTACCTGTTATGTCTACCTCTGTTCCCTGTAATGTCTCCCTCTGTTCCCTGTAATATCTACCTCTGTTCCCTGTTATGTCTACCTCTGTACTATCTACCTCTGTTCCCTGTAATGTCTACCTCTGTCCCCTGTAATATCTACCTCTGTTCCCTGTAATATCTACCTCTGTTCCCTGTAATGTCTACCTCTGTTCCCTGTAATATCTACCTCTGTTCCCTGTAATATCTACCTCTGTTCCCTGTAATGTCTCCCTCTATTCCCTGTAATGTCTACCTCTGTTCCCTGTTATGTCTACCTCTGTTCCCTGTAATGTCTACCTCTGTTCCCTGTAATATCTACCTCTGTTCCCTGTTATGTCTACCTCTGTAATATCTACCTCTGTTCCCTGTAATGTCTACCTCTGTTCTCTGTAATGTCAACCTCTGTTCCCTGTAATGTCTAACTCTGTTCCCTGTAATGTCTACCTCTGTTCCCTGTTATGTCTACCTCTGTTCCCTGTAATGTCTACCGCTTTTTCCTTTTATATCTACCTCTGTAATATCTACCTCTGTTCCCTGTAATGTCTACCTCTGTTCTCTGTAATGTCAACCTCTGTTCCCTGTAATGTCTAACTCTGTTCCCTGTTATATCTACCTCTGTTCCCTGTAATGTCTCCCTCTGTTCCCTGTAATGTCTACCACTGTTCCCTGTTATGTCTACCACTGTTCCCTGTTATGTCTACCTCTGTTCTCTGTAATGTCAACCTCTGTTCCCTGTAATGTCAACCTCTGTTCCCTGTAATATCAACCTCTGTTCCCTGTTATGTCTACCACTGTTTCCTGTAATGTCTACCTCTGTTCTCTGTAATGTCTACCTCTGTTCCCTGTAATGTCTACCTCTGTTCCCTGTTATGTCTACCTCTGTTCCCTGTAATGTCTACCTCTGTTCCCTGTTATGTCTACCTCTGTTCCCTGTAATGTCAACCTCTGTTCCCTGTAATGTCAACCTCTGTTCCCTGTAATGTCTACCACTGTTCCCTGTAATGTCTACCTCTGTTCTCTGTAATGTCTACCTCTGTTCCCTGTAATGTCAACCTCTGTTCCCTGTAATGTTTACCTCTGTTCCCTGTTATGTCTACCTCTGTTCCCTGTAATGTCTACCCCTGTTCCCTGTTATGTCTACCTCTGTTCTCTGTTATGTCTACCTCTGTTCTCTGTAATGTGAACCTCTGTTCCCTGTAATGTCTACCTCTGTTCCCTGTTATGTCTACCTCTGTTCTCTGTTATGTCTACATCTGTTCCCTGCAATGTCTACCTCTGTTCCCTGTTATGTCTACCACTGTTCCCTGTAATGTCACCTCTGTTCCCTGTAATGTCAACCTCTGTTCCCTGTAATGTCACCACTGTTCCCTGTAATGTCACCACTGTTCCCTGTTATGTCTAACTCTGTTCTCTGTTATGTCTACCTCTTTTCCCTGTAATGTCAACCTCTGTTCCCTGTAATGTCACCACTGTTCCCTCTAATGTCACCACTGTTCCCTGTAATGTCTACCTCTGTTCCCTGTTATGTCTACCACTATTCCCTGTAATGTCACTGTTCCCTGTAAAGTCACCACTGTTCCCTGTCATGGCTAACAATTTGGCAGGCTTTTCATTGTAAGGACTGATGTGGCCAATAGCTAAACAGTCTACCTCTGTTCCCTGCTATGTCTACCACTGTTCCACCTGCTAATGAATTTCATATTTATATAATTTTCCCTGTATTGTCTACCCCCTGTAATGTCACCACTGGTCCCTGTTATGTCTACCTCTGTTCCCTGTAATGTCTACCTCTGTTCCCTGTAATGGCTAACAATTTGACAGGCTTTTCATTGTAAGGACTGATTTGGCCAATAGCTAAACATCCCAGCAGCGTATATATTAAATATCAAGACTCTTTACCTTAATCAAGCCCAGAACAAGCTTTTCTAACTTTATCACCCAAAAAAGTGCATTTGAATTTTGACCCCTAGCGAAAACCTGAAGTTGACCTTTGATGATCATTCTTGTGCATACACTTGGTAGCTCATTCCCCCAGCATACTATAGACCAAAAATCATTACCCTGGGCATTTCCATTATTGAGAAGGAGTCTTTTGAAGATTTTAACATAATTTACCCTAGTGACCTTGAATAATGGTCAAGGTTATTCGTATTATCAAACTAGATAGTCCATTGCTTGAGCCTAATATTCACCAAATATCATGACCTTGGGTCACTTGGTTATTGAGAAGTTTTTTGAAGTTTGTTTCACAAAATTACACATTCGAACTTTGACCCTTGCCGAAAACCGGAAGTTGATGTTTGACAGAAAAAAAAATCCTGAGAAAAGTTATTTATTTGCTATTCTACAAAACATATACAAAGATGAATTAAATACATTCACCCGTTAATGAGGTATTGCAATTAAAAAAACACCTGGATATGACATTATGACAGTCATTTTGTTTTTTACGATGAAGTTGAAACATTAAGAATAAGAAACATAACAAAACAAATAGGTCTTTTCACCAGTTGATGGAGAGCCTTAATTACCATAATATGTACACATGCATCAGTATATTTCAAAATTTGAATCTTTAAAAAATTATTTATTTTGTAGGTACTCAAGCTGTCAGATTTCAGCCTTATCAAGATAAGGTAACCGTTACTCTGAATCTTCCAGAATGGAAAGATGGAAGCAATAAAGAGAAAGATACAATTCGTAAACACTTTCAGGAGATTATAATTATGGCAGCAGAGAAGAAGTATACATCTGTGACAGTTCTTTTGGATGACTGTGAGCGGTGTGGATGGAAGGAAAGGAAAGCATGTATATCGTTAGTCAAGAACACTCTGTATAGTCTTCAGGCTGAAAATGCCGGGGCCTGTTCCTGTGCCTATTTTGTGAGGGACCAGGGAATGTTCATGGCATTGCGTGATGTAATTGATGACAGTTTTAGAAATATTACTCAAAAGTACCTGTATATAACTGATGAAAAAGATGAAGTAGCATTGGATTGGGAGCATGTTGATCAGTCTGATATCAAAGGTATGTAAAACAATGAACTTTATATACTTCTACTGATATATGGTAATCCTTTTGCTTTTATATAGAATATTTCATGAAGATCTGAACAATTTTAGCTTATTTTTACACCATAGTGTTTTGGTTGTCATTGAATTGTCAGTAACCATGTGTAGAAGAAACTGGCAGGAACTTTTGTACATGTCTCAATGAGCATCAAAAGGATGTAGAAAAAATGAGCAATATATATATATACCAATTTTACCATAAACACATGCAAAACATCACCCACTCAGTAAAACAAATTGGCATTAACAGATCATGCTAACACCCAAAATGACATCATTGATTCGAACAATGCCAAATTAGTTGAAAGGGAACAACAAACAAAAACAAGACAATTCAAAGAAGCAATCAAAATTAGGAAAACTCAGAACATGAACAGAGACAAGTGGTGGCATCAGCTGAGTCATCTGTGTAACCCGATATTGACCTGGTGACGGGAGAGAGGGCTAGATCTACACCCTACCATTAACCTATTATATATACTCTCTATCTATAGCCAAAACATTCTGTGGAGAGTTACATATAAAATTTACAATTTTGTCTCATTGTTGGACAGGTAAACAATACAAAACGCTCACCAACTCAGTTATATGTTGACAAAGGGACACGTTGGTCTTGAAGTGCTGCGACATGTTTAATGTGTACATCATTTGTGTTTAAAGTAAAACTTTGATTTTAAATATTTGCAAACTGATGACTCTTATTGAAGAGCAAATCTGTAATAGTTTGTTTTTATACGCCCGTCAAATTTGACGGAAGTATTATGGTATGGGGTCGTCCATCCGTCCATCCGGCGTAAACTTTTGTTTGTCTGGCAATCTCCTCCTACATTTTTCGACCGATCTCTTTGAAACTTGGTATACATTATAATCATGATATGAAATTGCGTCTCCCTAAAAAGAATTTTGATTCAACAATTTTTCCAATAGAAATTGCCCTTTGTTCATTTCAGTATTTCATTTTTTGTCAAGAGATCTTCTCCTACATTTTTTGACAGATCTCTTTGAAACTTTGTATACATTATAATCATGATATGAAGTTATGTCTCCCTTAAAAGAATTTTGATTCGACAATTTTTGCAAAAGTTATTGCCCTTTGTTTATTTCAGTATTTGATTTTTTATCTGGAGATTTTCTCCTACATTTGTTATAGCATGTCAGCTTACCACTCTTAGAATGATGCAGATCTTATTTCAATGTAAGAAAGTATATAACACTATATGGCATTCGACGGGCTTATATTGTTCCGCCCTGCAGTACTTTGTTTTATGATAGTTTTGAGTTTCCTTGACAACATTTGTGCATTTAGATTTTTCAAATGGTAATGGCTATCAATATCAAAAGAAATATAGAAATAAATGCAAATTGGGCCTAGTACTGCAGTTTGTTTCCATTTTCTATGATGCAGTAATAGCTAATGTATACACTATTAACATGCTTGATTGCATTTTGTTTGGTTTAGAAAAGAAACCAGAGATAATTATACTCAAAGGAGAATTAGCCAAGATGACGGTAAGTAATCTACTCTCTTAATCATTGCTTAAATCGCTCTTATATTGAGGCAGAATTTGATTGTTTATATAACTATTAAACATTATAAATGCGTTGTTTGTTTGCGTTTGATCAGTCATTATTACAGACATTAGACTGATATTTGAACAGCAGTCCTGGTATATATATAGGAATGATAAATACAATATGAATACAACAGTATGTCTTTAGCTCTGCCCGAAGGGCTAGTGTTATTAGCTTATGTCATGGTGCGGTGGCATCTGTCATCCTTCCTACCGACGTCCGTCATCTTTTCCTTTAAACATCTGCTGAAGAATGGACAGGCCTATAGTCATGATATTTTATTGAAAGCTTCGTTGGTAAAAGCCTGGCAAATTTTGTAAATGAAAATTTCTTTGACCTACTTTCAAGGTCACTCGTGTTAAATATCTCAAACATTTTAAATGACTTTTACTGAATAATCTAATGGCATAGAATTAGGATATTTGGCTGATATTTTTCTGGGATGGAGCCTGATAAAGTTTGCGAATGACAATAACCTTGATCTTATGTGACTTTCAAGGTCGGGGTCAAATATGTCTAAGCTTCAAATGAGTTCCTCTGAAAAACTGAAAGGTATAGAATCATAATTTTTCGCTTGTAGCTTCTTGGGATTGAGCACGACAAAGTATGTGAATGAAAATGACCTTGACTTACTTTCAAGGCCACAGGGATCAAATATGTCAAAAAAATCAAATGACTTCTGAATGAATAATTGAAAGGCATACAACCATAATATTTAGCTGTTGGCTGTTGGCTGTCACAGCGCTTTGAACGACTTGTTTTGATTAGAACCAAAACGCATAGAATCATGATATTTGGCTGATAGCTTCTTGGGATTAAGAGCCAAAAACGTTTGAGAAGGAAAATGACCTTGACCTACTTACAAGGTCACTTCAAATAACTTCTTCTGAAGAACTGAAAAGCATAAAATCATATAATAAAATTTAGCTGGTAGCTTCCACGGATGAGGCCAGACAAAGTTTTTGATTGAAATATTTGAAGTACAGTATGATATTTAATGAGAATATTTGGCTATGACTGCTAAAATGTCCAGGTAAGTGATACACAGGCCCTCTGGGCCTCGTTTTTAACTCCCACTTCGAGAGAAAATGGGGGTTACAAATTTCGATGTATTCATACCTGTCCGTCCTTATATATATACATCTGCACTATGTCGGTCTTTATCATACTTTACTTTCTCTTCCCCTAAAACATTACCAATTTGAACAAATTCCTGTATGCACTTACATATATGAGGTGACATCTCAGTTAGTTTGTGCCAATATGATGGTTCCCTAGTCATGCATAATTAAAATGAGGCTACCAGTACTTAATTCTTATTGGTTAAATTGTTTTCTTGCAATTATAGGCTAATAACTGCCCCAAGGTTAGTCTGATTTCAATCAAATTAGTAAACATGCATATTTTCATCATGGCATTAAGGCTAATTAAGTCAGATTGGCAGTGTGATGCTAGTAACCAATTCTTCTTGTTCAGGAAAGTAGCTACTGGTCATTATGATACAACTGCTTTTGAACCAATAACTTGGTCAATACAGAAAATATTTCATCAGTAAGATGCTTGCTGTTGGTATGTTATAACTTTATGCGTTATATATATCATTATTCAAAATAATGTTTATTATTATTGGACTTATTGTTTATATATATATTGCTTCAAATCAATATTACAGAGTCAGGTAATAGTGAACACAACAGATACAACACTAAGTCTGGATTATGGCGCTGTATCTGCCTCCATACTAAGGGTAGCAGGACCACAGATACAGAAGGAATGTGACCAGTACTATAGTGGTGTGAAGTTTGGGGAGGTAGTCATCACACGTGGGTACAAGTTGAAGTGTAAACATGTGTTCCATGGAGCTCTGCCAAGTTATGTAAAGGATCGACAACTAAAGGTATAATACTATTAGTCATATTGATTTAAATTTTGTCTGGTAAGACAGGCGGACGGCCGAACCATACATAATGTGGATGCATTAAGACTGTATCTTTAAGCAGTCTTAGGGAGGTCAGGGGATGGGGAACCCAAAAACATTTAAAATATACATACATTTTTCATTCTTTGCTAAATAACTGAAGTAACGATATCCGATTAACATGAAATTTGGTAAGAAAGTTAATTGAGGCTTATGTACATAAGCCAGGTTAAATGGACAAATAATGTTTCTATTAATACTAGTCAAGCCTCGATGGACTAGTCTGCAACCTTAACCTAAACATTGTGTATATATATGTATGTCAGTGACAATCATGATTAGTAGGGTTTTCATTTAGGGACATCGACCGTATACATGACCAGGGCCTGAGCGGTCAATGATGAGAGTGACCAGTCACATGTTAACTAATTGCTGTCTGATTGGCTTAGAGGATTCCTGATAGCTAACTGGTCACTTTTTCCCCACCGGAGCTAAATGACCAATCTCATAAGTTTTATTTTTCGGGTTTAATTCTTGCACTACAATATACACGGATACGTATAACTACAGTCATACTTATGTATAAGTGATCCAAGAAGTGCTTGACGTTTCAAACAGTGTTTTCAGACACCAGGCCTAACCATGCAGACCGTGAGACGATGAGGATGGGTTTTTAACATTTTCAAACTTTCGAACAATGGCGAGTCGTAGGCCAAGATCTAAATCTAGGAATGTGCCGTGGGATTCTTCCAATCCAGCCAATTGGACAATTTCTCAACTACGAGACGAATTAATCAAGATAGGGATGACCCCTCCTTCAGCCGAAAACAGGTTTGAAAACTCTGTACTCCGAGAACGTGGGACGCCCCGGGCACGAGACAATAGTACAAAACATCGGGCCAAATAAAAGGGAAAATTTGACGAGAGGTGTATCCGTCGTGAATGATACAAGAGTTAGTGACATTCCGGGTCAGAATGGCACTGATGAACTTTGTGTTGCAAACGCAAACAGAAATTACAAAGAGCTACTTCGGGACGCGGAGGCTTTGTCTACGCCGGGTAGGGATGGTAGTGCTTTGGCCGACACAGTTAAAGCGCGGTGTAATCCAATGGAAGTCCCGCAGAATCAGTCCAACATGGCGGCGCCCAGTGTCATCGAGGGAATGCTGGCATCCATACAAACGATGCAACAGACCGTGCTTGGACTTCAACAGACCGTCCTTACGCTGATAAGTGGCAAAGACGGACTTACAGCGGACACGCCTAGCCAACCCACAAACCAGGAATACACCCTGATGACGGCGTACGAGTCCCTGAGGCAGGACCGAACGAATCAAGTCACTACAGGTGGGTGCTTTTCTATCAATTCCGAGGGGATATCATCTGAGAGTATCCCCCATATTGACATCGTATCGGACAGTAACAAAAAGAAAATTTTAGAAGGAAAATATGTGAATCTAGCCGCACTTCTCATCATTAAATACGAGACAGACCGTCATGAGGACCGTCAGAAAGGTTTGAACATTAACCTTTTCAAGGAATCCGAGGATCCCCGTCTGCACAAATCCCTGACAATATCAGAATTCATAACAGCAATCGGGAAGTTCAAAAGGGTAATGTGTACGAAGTGTCCCGAGCGCCGAAACGAGTTGGACATGTATGAAGCCAATATCATAGAGATTTCCAACGTCTATGGGCAACGTTTTTACGATTATCATTGCCAGTTTGCCATGAAGGCAGCTGCCGCCCTCAGAGACAACAACCAAAAAGTTTGTTGGGAACTGAAGGACCAAGGTCTCCTAAGTATGGTTGTAGGCAACACTAGAGTAAACACTTGTCAATTGTGTGGATTAACTTCCCACTCTACTTATTTCTGCCCAAGACAGAGGGAGAAGTACAGCCAGCACAACAACAGTTATTCATCGCCCTATGCAAAGAACACTAAAGGAGACAAGGAAACAGATAGGCTCGGACGCCCCAAAGTTATGGTCAATGGAGCTGAGGTGTGTAACAACTTTAATGAAGGCGTGTGTCAATATGGGTCCAGTTGCATATTTACTCACATCTGCTTGAAATGTAAAGCCACGGGGCTAAATCCTGTAGGATAACTGGAAAAAATCAAGCAGAGAACAATAACCAATGACTCAAAAGCGTTCAAGCTACCACACCCATCAACGTCAACAGACTCCGGTATGAGCTCAAAGGCCATACAGACAGAGAATTCGTGAATTATTTGTGTGATGGGCTTACTTACGGTTTTGACACTTTGATCACCGATAACCCTCTACCAAGTAAGGAATGTAGAAATCTTCAGTCAGCCTTAAAAGATAAACAAACTGTGACAACCTTAATTAACAGTGAAGTGACAAAAGGATTTCTACAGAGTCCTTATGACAAGCTCCCTTTCTCAACTTACAGAGTGAGTCCCATAGGTGTGGCTTATGGTAAATACTCGGGGAAAGCCCATCTCATAGTGGACTTATCTTCACCTCATGATGACGAGGAACACCCCAGCATCAACGACCTAATCGATAAAGATAGTTGTTCTCTCTCATACGTACGTATAGAAGACGCCATTAAATTGATACAACTATTAGGTAAAGACACAACTTTGTGCAAAACTGAAATATCTGATGCATTTAAGCTGTTACCTATACACCCATCACAATGGCATCTGTATGGGATATGTTGGCAGAATAAATATTACTATTACACACGCTTGGCTTTTGGCTGTCGGTCAAGTCCGAAGATTTTTGACAACCTTTCATGCGCCATCTGTTGGATTGCACAGCACAACTATGGAATTGCACATATATTACATCTTTTGGATGATTTCATCACTTTCGAAGAACCAGGAAAATGTGGAAATAGGAACATGACATTATTGTACCATATTTTCAATATCTTGAACATTCCTATGGCTCTTCATAAAACCTGTGGACCGGAGACAGAACTGGAGTATTTAGGTATTATCTTGGACTCCCATAACATGGAGGCCAGACTACCGGAGGACAAGTTAGAGAGGGACATAGAAATGTTGAAATCATTCCAAAATCGACAATCATGTACAAAAAGAAAATTATTGCAACTTTTGGGGCATCTGAATTTTGCTAGCAAAGTAGTGATTCCAGGAAAAGGTTTTGTATCTTATATCGTCAGGTTGTCTACTACAGTGAAAGCCTTGCATCATCATGTTAAAATTACAGGAGTGCAGGGAGGAAATTAGGATGTGGCTAACATTTCTGCAGCGTTGGAATGGCTCAACTATCTTCTATAACCCACAAGTCATAATATCTGAGGACATTCAATTGTACACAGATGCGTCAGGCACCCTGGGTTTTGGAAGGTACATGCAGGGACAGTGGTTCGCACAAGCTTGGCCAGAGATGTTTCATAAACATATACATAGTTTGAAAGACTTGTCTATAGCATTCAAGGAACTTTATCCTATAGTAGTAGCAGCATTGATATGGGTTCATAAATGGAGAGGCCTACGTATATTGTTTAGGTGTGACAATACAGCAACTGTAGCCATTCTTCAGAAACGACAGTCCAAAGCGTCGCATATTATGCCATTAATGAGACGTTTGACTATGTGTGCAGCTATTAACTCTTTTGTTGTGTATTCCAAGCATGTACCAGGCAAGCACAATGTAATCGCAGATTCATTGTCTCGTTTACAGATGGCAAGATTCCGAATGCTAGCTCCAGAGGCCAACGCCCTTCCGTGCCAAGTACCACAGCCTGCAGAGGTCTTCTGGGACTAGAATCTGTTGTAGAAGACCTATTGAAAACAGCTGTAGCTCCCAGCTCTAGACAAGCTTATGAAACCGGGTTTAAAACATTCCTCAGGTTCCTCCAGATGGCAAGTACTTGGGCCAATGTAAATCTTACAGACATGCAAGTCACAGAAGAGATGCTTATATACTTTGTGGCTTACTGTTATAGTATCAATCTTTCGTATGCTACTATTAAATTACACGTGTGTGGTATCAGGTTCATGTGTCTAAGAAACAACATATCTTATCCTAGCAATGCTAACTTGAGTCGTATGCATGCAGTGCTAGGAGGTGTTAAACGAACTCGTACTAAGGTTAGCAGACCTCGGCACCCTATCACCTTTAACATACACAAAGATACATGTGAATATCTGCGGAGGAACTCAAATTCTTTTGAAGACTTGATGTTGGAGACGGCATTTATCGTGGCTTTCTTCGGCTTTCTGAGATGTGGTGAATTTACTGTGAACAAAAAATTCGAACATAGTGTTCATTTGTGGGTCAATGACATGACTATAGGGGATGAATGCGTAAGGTTACATCTAAAGAGCTCCAAAACCGACCCGTTTAGAGAGGGCGTAACCTTAAAATTATTCAAGACTGACAATGTGATATGTCCATATGTTACTTGTTCCAAATATCTCTCAGTCAGGCAACGACAGACCCCTTCACCAGAGGATCCCTTGTTCGTTACTGATAATGGTAATACCTTAACGCGGACAATCTTTATTGAGAAATTCAGGCATGTACTGGAGTGCATTGGCATCAACTCTGACCTTTACAATGGTCATTCCTTTTGCATAGGAGCGGCAACTTCGGCTGCAGCAGCTCATATCGAAGACCATCTTATCAAAGTATTAGGGAGCAATGTAACCAAAGAGTTACAGCCAGTCAGACTGGAGCAATGACTGGTGCAATGTAGCCAAAGAGTTACAGCCAGTCTGGGTAAAACATAAGACTATATAAAGTTAAATCATATAAGACGCTATTCCTCTTCGGGTCTGGCTTGCAATGCACCTAAAGAAGTAGATAAGGTGGAAACGGCTCCACCACTACTCATTACATCCTCGCACTCTATTTAGTGTAACAGCAAAGCCTGCACACATATAGAGAACCATGTAATTGCCAGCTTTGTCGAGGAATAGCGTCGACACTCTATACCGTCACTGAGTTTGCCCCAGAAATGCCAATTTTTTATAT